CGCTCCGAGCACGGTGTAACCGGATCGGAACCGTACATGGCGCTCCGAGCGCGGTGTAACCGGATCGGAACCGTACACGGCGCTCCGAGCGCGGTGTAACCGGATCGGAACCGTACGCGGCACTCCTGCTCCAGTGTTTAACTCGATTGCCTCATTGTGGTACGTTTTTAGGGCAAATACTTTGAGATTCAGTTCAGCCGAGGGGGTGAACCAGACGGTGGGAAGATCTCCAACTTCCTCCTGGAAAAATCCCGGGTGGTCTCCCAGAACGAAGGCGAGAGAAACTTCCACATTTACTACCAGGTAGGCCACAGCAGCTCCCGCCCCTCACCGCAAACAGCCAATCCTCATTTTACCTGGGAGGGTGACACAGCGCCTCCAGTGCTGGGAGGTCTGCTACTGCATCATGACATGTTGACATAGGGATTCCCCATTATGAATGTGGGGGAGGGAGACACAGTGCCTCCAGTGGAGGGAGGACTACCATTGCACCGTGGTAGTTATCAATGGGATTTTCCATTGTGAATGGGAAGGTGACAGCGCCTTGAGTGGTGGGAGATCTGTAACTGCACCGTGGCATGTTGACATAGAGATTCCCCATTGTAAATGTGGGGGAGGGTGACACAGTGCCACTGATGGTGGGAGGTCTGGTACTGCACTGGAATTGATTGACATAGATTTTTTTCATTGTTAATGTGGGGCTGGGAGACATAGTGCCTCCTGTGGTGGGATGGCTGTAACTGTACCGTGACATGTTGACATAGGGATGTCCCATTGTGAACGGGCTAAATGAATTTGGAATGGGAAACGTTCCGGGAATGTACACGGCTAGGTTAAATTGGGGAGGGGGGGTTGGGGCGGTGGGGGGGGGTGCGCGGAGTGACGATGGAGGAATGTAGGACCATGAGGATGAGGGTTAGGGTGAGGGCTAGTGTTAGTGTTAGAGCTTAAGGTTAGGGTTAGGGCTAATGTTAGGGCGAGGGGTAGGGCTAGGGCTCGGGCTAGGGTTAGGCCTAGGGGTAGGGTTAGGGTTAGGTATAGGGCTAGGGTTAGGGTTAGGGTTAGAGTTTAAGGGTAGGATTAGGGCTAGGGCTAGGGTTAGGGTTAGGGTTAGGGCTCGGGCTAGGGGTAGGGCTAGAGATCGGGTTAGGTTTAGGGTTAGGTATAGGGCTAGGGTTAGGGTTAGGGCTAGGG